TGTCTAATATTATTTCGTTATTTTTGATGCATTAAATTTTATTTTAATCGTTAGGTATGCCTGAATAAATAATTACTGTATATTGGTATCATGTAAATATTAGTTAAATAGACAAATATTATTGTGTACATAATATGATAGAACAAAATATGAAATTATATGAATTTTTTTCTATATAATATGTTTTGAAAGCTGATCTGAAGCCGTATGCTGAAAAATGCACAAATCAAAATATTTTTTCTATACAAAATAACAGATGTATGTTATTATAATTTAAAATGATAAGCCCAGGTTTCCTCACGATGTTTTCCTTCACCGTTTGTCAGTGGTGTCTAAATAATCTTAGAAAGTACATATAACTCGGAAAAAGTCACATTGGTACTTGCTGTTGGTAGGTTTCGGCCCCGCGCCCTCATGCATGAGAAGCGGGCTTCTTAAACCTCCGGGCCACGACTAGTATTGTCCATAATATTCAATTATCAATTGACTACTGAGTTTTAAAAACATATTGTATAGATGAACAACATAGTTAGGTAGGATATCAAAAATTTTTGGAAAAAAATACCAAAAAAAATGGGTTTTTATAATCTGTATATAAATAAACAAATAAATAAAATAGATAGCTTTATACTTAAGTAATGTACTGAATTGATGTTTTTTTACTGTTTTTTTTTATTATTTTTTTATTTGACTCCGCGCTAAGAGGTTCTCATGTGTTATTAAAAATAGGTTCGGTAAAATCATGACCTTGGCGGTGTCTGAATACCTTTCTTCTGGGTGTTTTTTTTTATAGATTATATAAAACAAATTAGTGCCTTTCTAACTATTTTTATTCATGACTGGCTGACCCGAGAAAATTTCTACTGTCTTATGTTTTTCTCATTTTTTAAAATCTTCCCAGCAGCAGTAGCCAAATGCCATTTAGCGCTTGTCTACTTGTAGAATAGAAAACCAAATTATTTGCAATTGACGTAAATTTTGACACTTGTCAGTGTCATCCCCATACATTTAGTTTTCTACTCTCTCTGTAGACAAGCGCTAAAGTGGCGTTTGGCTAAAGGCACGGACTTCTAGGAATATTTCTACATTTTAATTAGCTAAATCGGTCCAGCCGTTCTCGAGTTTAAGCGAGACTGAAGTACGGAAATTCATCTTTATGTAGATTCAATCAATCAATTAAATTTCAATCCAATAAAACCTCAATAATTACTCAATGTCAACACTATACAACCACAATCGTAGCTGTTACAATAGCATTCAGAGTACGGAATATAAAGACAAACTCAATACCATTTAGTTCATTCAATATCCACGCAATACGGATGCAATGGGCGCTAGTGTTGCAACTCAAGAGTACGTTTCACAATATCAATGTCGATCGATCGGAATTGGATTCAAGAGTAAGCCTTATTTGTCATGAATAAAAATAATGTTTTTTTTTTTGTAGAAGAAATAACAGTGTGATACATTATAATTATTGTAATATATTTATTATAATTTTGTAATACAAGGGTACTTTGTAACTGTAAATTGTACTATTAATAAACTATTTTTTATGAACTGTAACTAATACCTCAATTTGTATTGTTTGTTTGTTATTTTTTTATGTGTTTCTCATATATTTAGATATTTTTTATGCTAGAATAAGGCTTAGTCCTTTACAGTCCACTGACTATGAGAGCCCTCTACATAAGAGGGGTATGTCAAAAACTCCTTAGAAAAACGCAGTGTAAAAAGTTCAGACGAGTATACGACACCAGCGGGAAGAGTAGGACTTGTGGCACATATTTGTGGACAATAAGCCACATAGCTATAATTCTATCTAGCCATATAAATGATCTATGTATGAGACTATTTTTTAATGTTTGTTGTCAACTTTTTTTAGTTAATATTTGTAATTTGATCGTGCCTTTTTGTGAACTGCCATTAATTTTAGATATTATTTTCTAATGGTGTTGGTCATCAGCTCATGTACTGTAGAGATTGTCCAGTCAACTAATGGTAGCGAGGTTCACTGTCCAGTGACACACATACGCTGGTATCGTCATGAGCTAATGTTGACATGTAAACAGTGACTCGTGTAGTGTAGAGATTGTCCAGTCAACTGATGGTAGCGAGGTTCACTGTCCAGTGACACACGTACGCTGGTATCGTCATGAGCTAATGTTGACATGTAAACAGTGACTCGTGTAGTGTAGAGATTGTCCAGTCAACTGATGGTAGCGAGGTTCACTGTCCAGTGACACACGTACGCCGGTATCGCCATGAGCTAATGTTGACATGTAAACAGTGACTCTGAAGAGATTGTCCAGTCAACTGATGGTAGCGAGGTTCACTAGCAACGCCTTGAGCTAATGTTTTTTTATTTATATGGTTATGATATTATTCTTTTATATAAGTTTTGTAATCCTAAAATATATCTAGCAATAATAATAATGCTGCCTTATTTGTGTTACTTCGTAAGTCGTAATTATAGTTCGTTTGTACTTTGTTATTTATTGTAATTATTAGACTTTTGTTATGATGTAAACTACTTATTGTAAATAGATAAAATGTAAATATATTTTTACGGAAGTGCCTTTGTTGTTTTATTTTATAACTAGCTTTTACCCGCGGCGTTGCTCGCGTCACAAAAGGGTAAAAAGTAGCCTGTATGATATATACCAATACACACAGCGCCATCTATACTTTACTTTTGTTTTCCCTCGGGAATATCAAATTTTTCTGGAATAAAAAGTACCCTATTATTTATTCCGGACTTCTAACTTTACGCCTGCAAAAATTCAAAGCAATCGGTTTAGAAGTTACGGCGTGAAAGTGGAACAAACAAACAAACTCACTTTCCCATTTATAATAGTAAGGATTATCATCATATCAGCCACAGGACGTCCACTGCTGAACATAGGCCTCCCCCAATGACTTCCAGATAGGCTGCTTGGAAGCGACCTGCATCCAGCGGCTCCCTGCGACCTTAATCAGGTCGTTTGTCCACCTTGGGGATGGATGTCCTACGCTGCGTTTGCCGGTACGTGGCCTCCACTCGAGAACCTTTCTGCCTTAGCGGCCGTCTAAATGTTATATTTACGGTATTTAAAAATCTCAACTATTTTTTACTCCTCTCCATTCTACTATAGATGCTAATCTTCACTGTTTTTTTTTTGTATTACCCGGTATTAGCTATGTGCGCGACGGTGGCGACGCGTAGCGTTTACATTTGCGGAAGCTGTCAAATAATAACAAAACAATGTAAACATTATAATTTTCTTTGCAAATATAAATAAAACCAAAGATTAAAATAGTATTGTTGACATTATTTAAGTGCAATTTATTAAATAGTTTTACTGTAAAATGAATATAATAATCATCATCCCCATTTGTTTCCAATTTCTACCGTGTTGTGCGCTGCGGTCGTTATCTGTCCGCCACTACTCGCTTTGCACATAGTCAATACCTACGAGCAGACGGAGCACCTGATGGAAAGCAATCGTCGCCGCCCATGGACACCCGGCACACCAGAGGCGTTTTGGAGATTAGGAATTTGGGTGATTATTGCGGATCCGTTAACCTCAATCACACGACGAAACACAACGCAAGCGTTGTTTCACGTCGGTTTCCTGTGGGCCGTGGTATCACTCATTGTCGAGCCGACCCATTCGTGCCGAAGCATGGCTCTAACCGTTCTCTTGAGAACGGTTAATTTTGGTTCGTTCGGTTAGTTTATTGATTCTTGATATCGATCTTTGAATTACTTTTGTAAAAAATCCATATTTTTGTCGATTGCACCTTTTTTGTGTCTCAATTTTGTTCTGTTTTTTGCTATTTTTGTATAGAACATTATAAGCTTTATTATTTAAAACTATTTAACTGCAAGTGACTATTGGTACGAGCAGAGGCGTAGGTAGTAGACGAAGGATTAGTAAAACAGAAATAAATTTGTAATAAGGTTTTGATGTATTAGTCAGATATTTTTAGTTTATTGACAAAAATCTGGAATTTTTATAAAAGTAGGTAAGTACCTAATTCAAAGTGCGATATCTTGAGGTCGGGTTTGGCATACCTATGTGGTTCTTATGGACTTAGGAAATTCAAATCTGTCAAGAGTAATGCATACCTACCACCTCTTAAAGGATTTAGGTCGACTTAACTAGTAACCCTGTTTAACTGTTCAGCAGTTCTGGCCTTTACTTACATCAAAATTTGAAAGGGAGCGTACCTACGTGTATCAATAATATTTTTTTTTATGGCACAAGCCCGCCACAACCTCCCAAAACCGCTGCAACTCCTGTAAGCCAGGATCTACAGTAGATACAACCACGAAAACACCAGAGCACTGAAGTCCGGCGCGTCCCAGAGACATGAGTAACTGTCTTGGTTCCCGCAACGAAGTGAATCAGAAGATATTGTAAGAGGAGAAGAAAAAAAAAATCAATAATATATACAAACTACTACCTACACCGATTTCATTTACACTATTCTTAAGTTTCATAGCGTTTTGTTAATAACTGTGTATAACCACAGAATGGACCTGATTGTAACCTTCATGAATACGACAGATACAAAAGATGTTTTCAAATAGGCCCACTACTAAATGAGATAAACACATGACCAATATAAAAGACTAAAGAATTCAATAAAAAATATTATAATTGGACGACCAATTTCACAACGTACCTACAGAAAAAGCTTTGAACCATTGACCGTGCTAGTTTCACATAATTAAAAAAACAAACAAAATGCTCTTCACATCAATAATAAAAGCGTTAAGCTGAGTTTACGTAATCTAAATCGTAATAAGCGTTTCTACTTAAAGAGACATTCACAAAATATAGTTTCAAATTAAATAAATTGCTAAAGTCAATAGCGCCTTCGGAAACTTACATAATTTAAGTTATCATCTCTCCCTTTCAAAATTAGATAAACCTGAGTTGAACACTACCATTCTAAAGGTTATAGGTTAAAATTCTTGAATAGAATCTAAGCAGTGTTATAACCTCTTAGCACTCAGTCGCTTTACGCGCGCCGCGGAAGCTCGTCCCTTTCATCGACAAATTAAAAAAGTTAACTGTCAAAAATTGGCGGGAAAACCTTCGAGTGACATTACTTTTTTTTTTATTTAAATTTTTTCGTGTGATTTTTTTAAGTTGAAACAGACAAAATGCAAATCAAGGCGAGTTTATGTTGGGTAAGTCTTGTATTTTAAATATTTGTTTAAACTGTCAAACACCAAGCGGTCACCGGTGACCGCAAGCTATTGTTCTATAATTGTGTCTACAAAACCGGTACTCGACGAGTTAATAATAATTTAAAATTGTTGAATTAAATTGTTTTATCGGGAAAATAATTAGCCAAGCAAACATTATTTTCTGATTTATTTGAATTAAACCAATGACATTTGCTATACTCAATTGTTGTTTGAGTGATCGCTAGTGTCACTACTGAGGAAGAAAGGAAAGGGCTCAGCAATGCTATTCTCTAAGAAACAATTTCCAGGCTATTACGCTGCATCGAATTCGTCGAAGAGACAGCCTTTTTTTTTTAAGGGGGGAAAATCATCGAATGACTGCTCCCACCTGGGTGAGGCGGAAGGGAGTGTCAGACTCTTACTGACTAAAAACCACCCCGTTCCTTCTCCTGCACGTCGAGCCGGAGCCCCGGTTACCCGTTAGGTTCTCCGCGACTCCGAATCGGCATCGGCCCTATTGGGCCCCATCTGTGGTGGTCTGATGGCTCTTTGAGGCGCGCGCGGAACGCGACGCGCCGTACGCTCGGGTCTGTTTCTGGTCGGACGGGGAGCCACCCATGCTCGCCGTCCGCAGGCCCGCGCTTACGGTGGCCGGAGATCGTCCCGCGATCCCCGACGCCCGGTGTGTCCTTCGCGATGGCTGGGTTGCGAGGAGGCAGCGCTTCGCTGCCTCACGCGTCCCGCCTCCTCCTTAGCTAGCATGACTGCTTCGCAAAAGGAGGAGACGGCATCCCAGACTACAATAGTTGGACATATGCTACCGCGGAGTTTTTTGTAGACATTATGATGTTCTTCAATATTTTTGTACATTATTTTGTTCTATCGCTAATAGTTTCGGCAGCGCATTCGACGAAAGACATTTTAAGACTCATATTTCTACACCTTCGGTTACATTGTTCAAATTTTATCAAGGATCCCTAATTTTTTTCAAAATGAAATGTAGCCTATGTCAAATTGGAAGAATGTAGCATTCTATTAGTGAAAGAATTTTTTAAATCGGCCCAGTACCTTTTGAGCCTATTCATTACACAAACATACAAAAATAGGTACAAATCTTTCCTATTTATAATATTAGTATAGATAAATATTTAAACGCGACTTAAAATTGACTGCCGTTTTTGTATTTGTTCATTAGGTATCTCCTTAATTATTTAAAACTATCACGTTTCGCATAGTTTGTATGCAGACAACGTACTAAGTAGATACTATCAGCTTACACCAAATTTATACTCATCTACATACATAACATCACGCCTTTTATCCCCTAAGAGGTAGGCAGAGGTGCACACAGAAGTAACACCCACTTTTCACTATTTATGTTATGAGTCCCATGTAATAGGGGGTGAGCCTATTGCCATATACCGTACACATTTTCAGACTCCGTGCTACTACTGAGATTTTTTTTAAAAAAACCCAGTATTACTTTGCCCGACCCGGGAATCGAACCCGGCAGTTATATTAATCCATGTTAATTTTATTTAATAAAAAATATAATGTGTGTGTATTATTTAACAACGGCAACGGCAAGTACCAATGTGATCAGCCATAGGACGTCCACTGCTGAACATATGCCTCCCCCAATAATCTCTAGATAGGCCGGTTGGAAGCGACCTGCATCCAGCGGCTCCCTGCGACCATAATCAGGTCGTCCGTCCACCTTGCGGATGGACGTCCTACGCTGCGCTTGCCGGTACATGGCCTTCACTCGAGAACCTTTCTGCCCCAGCGGCCGTCAGTTCTCCGCGCTATGTGCCCTGCCCACTACCACTTCAGCTTGCTAATCCGCTGGGCTATATTCTGCCTTTGTTCGTTTGCGGATTGCCTCGTTTTTCGGTCTCGCAAAAAACTCCGTGCATAGCCCTTTTCAGGGAGGGAGCGTCAGACTTTTGCTGACTAAAAACCACCCCGTTCGTATTTCTGCACGTCGAGGTAGAGCCCCGGTAACCTATTAAGTTCTCCGCGGCTCCGTATCGGCATCAGCCGTATTGGGCCCCATCCAAGGTAGTCTGGTGGCGCGAAAAACTGGGTTAAGTGTCCATTAACTGACTGAGTACGGTTACTGATAGGTACACTTATTTACTCATTTTATTACTAAACTTTCTGCTTGAACGTTTGGCGCGTTAGATAAAAGAGTAACGAATGTAGTTTCTTGCTCGTTCTTCTCCATTCGAATCTACATTTTGTAATGAGCACCTAGCTTCACTTACGGACTGACTGATAGACTATTACTTATTTGAATACTTTTATATTTGTTGACAAGTTACTCAAAAACTATCGAGCGTCCTCGATTATTTTCAAGAGCACCTCGAAATCTTATCGAGCATATCCGATCAATTTCGAGAATTACTCGAAAATTATCGAGTATCCTCAATCTCTTTCGAAAGTAACAGTATCGTACCCTCTAATTATTTTAAAAGTGCACATAGCTTCACTTACGGACTGACTGACAGACTATTATTTATTATGTATTTTTTTACGTTTCACAAGTACCATATTATGGTTTAATTGAAATAAATACTTTGATTTTGACTTTGAGTGTAACATGTTAAATAAAAAGTTAAATATAATAAGTTTTATTGGATACAAAAATTAATGAAAAAACAAACCGCATAAATACGTTTAAATTTAATACGGAATGTTTACATACATACAAACATAATAAATAATTCATTTTAATTTAAATAAAATGTAAGTTTTATACGGGCGTGGTCGTTTTATTGAGCAGAAATAAATTATATACATTATCTGTGGCGAAACGTTTGACAGATTGTGACATCCATAGACATAAGTAATATTTTTTTTTTAATGCGGGAAAATCATCCAATGACTGCTCCCGCTTGGGTGAGGCGGGAGGGAGTGTCAGACTCTTACTGACTAAAAACCACCCCGTTCCTTCTCCTGCACGTCGAGCCGGAGCCCCGGTTACCCGTTAGGTTCTCCGCGACACATAAGTAATATTAAGCTTTTAATTCTGCGCGCAGATAGGCGAAGGCCATATAGAAATGTAACAAGCGACTGTGACCCTCCTTTATGAAGTTTTGCCATAATTTTCACGCTTTGCAGATAAATACGTATATAAATAAATAAATAACATCACGTCGGTAGGCAGAGGTGTACTTAATACCACTGTACAATGTAACACCCACATTTTACTATTTATGTTATGAGTCCCATGTAATAGGGACTGAGCTTATTGCCATATACCGGGCACAATTCCAGACTCTGTGCTGCTACTGAGATTTAAAAAAAAAACCAGCAATACATTGTCCGATCCGGCAACCGTACCCGAGACCCCTTGCCCAGCAGTCGCTCTTGCGACCACTCGGCGAACGAGGCAGTTATCTCTTAATTATTAACCTAAATTTGCATAACCTGTCACTTAGGGACCATTCGCCTGTCATATCGTCATTATGGTGACTTTGTTTTGGTATAGAAATGTATTCAAATGTAATATGAATAAAGTTTTATAAGGGTTTGCGTAATGTGTTATCTTGTGTTTGATAATATCAAACATATCAAATATTATCTGGGTCATGGTGTTAGATAGATTCGAGACGGAGGCGGAGCACAGAGGAGACTTACAAGTTACACCTCACTCTTTTGTAAATCTTACTTTTCTTTTTCTTTTTCATCTTTTAAAAAAACGTTGCCCCATACTATGCTTTTCTCCTGTGTCGTGGGTGCGTTTACAAACATACAAGTTCACATACACAATGACATCCAGACCCGAAAGAACAATTTGTGGATCACACAAAGTGTTGTTCCGTGCGGGAATCGAACCCGCGACACGTTGCACGGCAGCCGGTTGCCCAGCCACCGAACCAACCGTGCAATGCGTGAATCTTGACGTACGACAAAACTCGAAATGTAGCCCCGAGCTCATAGCGGCCTGACAATGTAGACTGCACGATTTTTTTTTTTTGACGGGGAAAATCAACCAATGACTTCTCCCACCTAGGGTTAAGCGAGAGGGAGTGTCAGACTCTTACTGACTAAAATCCACCCCGTTTCTACTCCTGCACTTCGAGCCGGAGCCCCGGCAACCTATTAGGCCTTTCGCGGCTCCGTATCGGCATCAGGGCCCCATCTGTGGTGGTCTTATGGCTTGACTTCACGGTTGGCGCAGTGGTTGGGCAACCGGATGCCGTTCAACCTGTAGCGGTTTCGATTCTCGCTCGGAGCAACTATTTGTGTGATCCACAACAATGTTGTTTCGGGTCTGTGTGTCATGTGTATGTGAACTTGTATGTTTGTATACGCACCCACGACACAGGAGAAAATTCTAGTGTGGGGCAACGTTTTGAAAACCAAGGCAGGCTATTGGAACTCTCCAAGTAAAATCGATTTCATTCTCACCCGTCATTGGTCGAGATTATTCTCACAGCTGACAACTAATGACACGGTGTACCGTGATCAAACTCATTTCGGTTGTTCAAATTGACATCTTATAGAATAGCTTAGTAGTTCAGTGTGTTTACTCTTGCAACCAATTTCAATGTCAATACAATTTCAATCCAATAAAACCTCAATAATTATTCAATGTCTAAATTATACAACCCCTATCCTAGCTGTTATTCGGAGTCGCGGAGAACCTAACGGGTAACCGGGGCTCCGGCTCGACGTGCAGGAGAAGGAACGGGGTGGTTTTTAGTCAGTAAGAGTCTGACACTCCCTCCCGCCTCACCCAGGCGGGGGCAGTCATTCGATGATTTTCCCCCCTTAAAAAAAAAAAAAAAATCCTAGCTGTTAAAATAGCATTCAGAGAACGTAATATAAAGACAAACTCAATACCATTTAGTTCATTCAATATCCACGCAATACGGATGCAATGGGCGCTAGTATTGCAATTCGAGAGTACGAAATTTCACAATACCAATGTCGATCGATCGGAATTGGATACAAGAGAAGTCCCCAGGTAATGCGGAACAATATGTTTCCCG